TTGTTTTCATAAGTAGTGGTCTTACTATCAATTGCAGGCGTTTAATAAATGACTCTGCAAGGCTATTTTGAGTATGAACATAAGCTAAAGGATGTTCAACTTTTATCCCAACGGATAGATAATAATCATCAAAAGTTTGAGATGAAAATTCTCCAGCATTATCAAGGCGAATAGCCTTTATAGGATAATCTGGGAACTGTACCCTTAATCGAATTATTCGGGCTAATAGTTTTGCAAACGCCAGGTTGCGAGATGATATTAGGCAAACATGAAACCATCTTGAAGATGCATCTATTAGGACCATAAAATATCTAAACAACCCACTTGGTGGTTGAATAGGTCCACATATATCCCCATGTATATGCTCTAAAAAGGCAGGGGATTCAATACCAACCTTCATTGGTGATGGTCTAGTGATCATTTTTCCTTGATAACAAGCATCACAAGAAAATTCGTCATTTGTAAGAATCTTCAAGTTTTTTAATGGATGCCCACTCGAATTTTCAGTAATTTGTCTCATCATTATTGATTCGGGATGGCCCAAACGGTCATGCCAAAGCACAAAATTATTTGAATCCGTAAACTTCTGGTTTACGATAGAGTGTGCTTCAATTGTACTAATTTTTGAATAGTATAAGCCAGAAGATAAAGTTGGTAACTTTTCTACAATGCATTTCTGGCCAGAAATATTCTTTGTAATACAAAGATATTCCCTGTTCATTTCATCTATTGTCTCAACATGATACCCATTTCGGCGGATATCTATAAAACTCAATAAGTTTCTTCGGGACTTGGAGGAGAACAATGCATTGTCTATAATAAGTTTTGTTCCCTTAGACAGAAATATTATGGCTCTTCCGGAGCCTTCAATCAAACTTATATTACCAGAAATTGTTGAAACATTTGCTTTTTCCTTATGCAAATAAGAAAAGTATTTCTGATCGTTGAATATGGCATGAGTTGTTCCACTATCAATAACACAAATATCTTCATGATTTGTCTTTGATCCAAACATAATTTAAGGGTTATCCATATTCTTCAAAATAACACAAATAAAATATATTGTAGTAAACATCATTATCAAAGCATAACTTTTATTTATGTACAACAATTACATAACCATACTATCTATTACAAACAACAAAAATTAAAATATTTACATTTCTACAGATTCACTACCGATTACATGACTTGTTTCTCCTTCTGGGAGTGCAAAATAATCAGCTACATCCAAATGCATGAAATCTAAATTATCTTTAGAAATAAAATTTGCTTCAATATTTTTCTCTGTCTTCTTCAAGGAGGCTTGATAAAGCTCAACCAGGTGCTTTGGCGTACGACAGGTACGTGACCAGTACCCTTTTCTTCCACATCTATAACATGCATTTTCTGCATTTGGCGCTTGCACCGCTTCATGCTTTTGTTCCTTCCTTTTCCACTGATGGTGGTAAGGAGGCTTCTTTGGTGCATTATTATTACCATGATTGGGGTTTCTTCCCCGACCAAGGCCATGACCACGACTGGGGCCACGATCGCTTCCACGTTTAGCTTGGTGGAAGTTCGTCTCATTCACTTCAGGGAATGGACAAGAACCAATAGGTCGACTTTCATGATTTTTCATTAATAACCCATTAGGTTGCTCTGCTATAAGAAGATGTAAGATAAGTTCAGAATACTTTTTAAATCCAATCTCTCGATATTGCTGCTGCAGGAGCATATTCGAGGCATGAAAAGTGGTGAAAGTTTTCTCCAACATATCATGATCAGTAATATTATCACCACATAATTTCAATTGGGAAATAATTCTGAACATAGCAGAATTATACTCACTGATAGATTTAAAATCTTGTAGCCTTAGATGAGTCCAATCATAACGTGCCTGTGGAAGAACGACCATCTTCAGGTGGTCATATCTATCTTTCAAATTATTCCACAGTATGACTGGATCTTTAATAGCGAGATATTTCATTTTCATGCCCCCATCAAGGTGATGGCGTAGGAATATCATTGCTTTGGTACAGTCTTGGTTTGATGCCTGATTTTTATCCTTGATGGTGTCTGCCAGACCCATCGCATCAAGATGAATTTCAGCATCAAGCACCCAAGACATATAGCTTTTGCTCGATATATCTAGGGCTACAGATTCAATTTTAGAAAGATTTGACATTATTTAGGAAAAGAAAGTTCTTACCTCTAATACTTTCAAAGTATTTGCCCGAGATGTCAGAGTCTCGTGCTGATAACGTATTATAAAATAAAGACTGTAAAGTAAAGATAAGTATAGAGAGAAACTGTTATATTATTCGAATTCAAATTGATGTACATAATGAACTGAAATCTCTTCTATTTATAGAAGAAAAGAAGCTTCTACTATACCAGATATGAATAATCTTCTACTGAGAGCAATGTTTATCCATAACGGAGTACTGAAAGGATAAGCTTATTATACCCGATATGGATAATCTTCTACCCGAGGTAATGTTTATCCATAACTAGGTACTAAAAGGATAAGCTTATTATACCCGGTATGGATAATCTTCTACCGGGTGTAATATTTATCCATAACTGGGTACTGAAAGGATAAGTTTATTATACCCAGTATGGATAATCTTCTACCGGGGGTAATATTTATCCATAACCGGGTACCGAAGTGATAAGCTTGTTAAGGAAGCTTATTTTCAATAGAGTACTAAATAGATAAACATATTTACGGTGGAGTCCCATATGGATAAGTTTTTCTTCAGGAAACTTATTTACAACGGAGTACTAAATGAACATCCATAATATAATATATTTATAACATTTTCTTAATTCTCTTTCTGGTAGCTGCAAAAACGACACCGTTGTGACGAAATCAATTTGTCGGAAATTTGACAAAAGATCGAGCGAACTAATCATAGTCGTCCATCAACGGCGACGGAACGGCAACGATCAACGGCGGCGATGGCGGATAGTTGCCTTCGAGCTCTAGTGGAAGCCATACATTCCTCTCCTACTCAAGCTGTCATTTATCTCTCCGGCGGTGCCTCTCAGGTAACCGATATGCACTGACAGTGTAAAAATTCTTTTACACTGATAATTTAGGTACATATTAGACTTGTGATGAGCAGCTAATAACTGTTGTTTCAGGTAAGTTTAATCTGATTGTGTAAAATGTTTAAACTATGTACAGAATTTAAACTCAGTTTGAAATACAAAGGCAGCTCTTTATGTTATCAACTGATCCATAGCATTTTTTTTTGATGTGATATTAAAGCAGATCAATATTATGTTTTAGTTCAATTAAATGTGATCGTATAAAAAAATTAAAATATATACTGTGAGTGCACAGAAGTTAAAATGATATGAAATACAAAGGCAGCTCTTTATGTTATCAACTGATAAAGTAGCAATTTTTTTTTTATGAAATGTTATCTTGAGCAGGCGTTGGGGTGGTTGATGTCAGTTCCAGGAGCATCGAATACTGTGCTTGAATCCGTAGTTACTTATTCCAGAATGTCTATGATTCAATTACTCGGCAAGGTCATTTAGTTTTCAAATTTAATCGTCGTTATGTTGAGATTAGCGCGAGTTCACTGCTAACACATTTGAGGTTTTTGTTTTTTCTGGAACAGGTTCCTGCTCAAGCAGCTAGTTCGCAAACGGCTGAAGAAATGGCATTGTTGGCTTATAATAGAGCATTAAAGCTTTCTAAACCAGGTCTTGATTTTGGATTATGTGATTTTTTGTCGTTCGATTATGGATTTTGTGGTTTTATCATGTGCGTGCATCTCTTAGCTAAACAAATTTGGCTCACACATTTATAGAAATTTTCTAGTTTAGTTAGGAGAAATGAGAAAATTCCGTCTGAGCAGCTAAAGCATAGCCAGATCCAAGAATAAAGGAGGCAGGTAAATAGATTAAATATGTGAGGGATGCGATCATACTAACAAGAATGTAATGGATCGCATAAGAACTCGGAAGTTAAGTGTGCTTAGCCGAGTATAGTATTAGGATGTGTGACTTCATGGAGAGTCCTCATATTGCATCTTTTACCGTCTCTAACTAGTTTTGTGTTGATGTTAGTTGATTCATATTTAAGCGTGTTGAGAATTGATTTAGAAGATAAAACTTTCAAGTGTCAAATTGAAGTGGTTGGAAGACACTGACAGCTCATCATAGATGACCACTTGAGTTAATCATGAGTGGTCTATTTGACATATGCGGATATAATGATTGGTATGCCTTGGCTAAATGATGAAGGTTTTCCTGTTATGACAAACTATAATAAACATTCTAGTGTGAAATTTGTGCTTGCTATTGAAGATGTATAAAGGCTAAAGGTACAGTCTAGAAGCCAAAGTGTACCATCTTTTCAGTTACTAGATAGCAGCACAGGTTTTTTTATTACTCTTTCTGATAAATGATCTCTTTCACAAAAAGGACAAAGCCAGATTTTTATCATTTCTCATTTTTATGTTGGATCATGTGTATGGTCGTAAAACTAGTGATGTCACTTTGAGTCAAAGTTAGACTGTTTTACACCTGTGTATTACAAAGTTTCACAATTTATTATGTAATAGCATTTTATTCTTTGATCTATGTTGTTTTTATGTGACATGCTTTCTATTTGTTTGAATGTACAGGTTCACCAGTTTTAGGTGTGGGTTTTACTGGTGCCTTGGCTAGTGCACGCCCAAAACGTGGAGATCATAGGTATTCTTGTTGCATCTATCAGTTTATCCTCATATATCCTTTCAGTTTCTTATTCTCTTAGGAGCACCTTTTGTTCGGGGTTTATCATTTTTGTTGTATGTTTCCTAGATGCACTAGGAGGGGTATACGGCTGTTTTTCATTGAATTATTCACATGAGATTTCTGTTACATAGTGTGACTACCCTAACCCCCCCCCCCGGTGGGATTATACTGGGTTGTTGTTGTTGAGTGTGACTACCCTAATTACCATTCACTTTTCCTTAAAACATTAAATGGATCAAATTAAGGGGAAAAAAGATATGCTAAGATAGATTTGTACATTTCTCTTTGAAAAGTGGGGCTGATTAACTAGAGGGTGGTTATACAAGCACAAGATAATATTAATGACAGCTGTTCCTCCTTGATCTTTATGATGTGGATGGAAATAACTGCTTTTCTTTCTGTTGGAGACATGAGAAAAGATTCTGCAATCAGATATAGAATATTTGTTGCTGTGGTTGATGAACTTCTTGTTAACACTAATCCACAACCTATTTTTGAATTTGTATTCTTTCTTCTGCTGATCAAGAAAGCACTAGCTTTTGTTGATATCTTATATGTATGGATGTTAAGAACACAGACGGATCCTTCTTTTGAAATATGTTGCTGAGTTGTGTTCATATTAGAATTGCTTCATCTCAGTGCTCATTTGTAACCCCTAATGGGAGGAATAAAGCACCAAACATTGTTGCTATAATTAAGTCTGAAAGGTTTCCATCCCTTTAAAGATTCCTGCGTCCTGTGGACCATGTTTGGATCTCTAGAAAGATGCCCTTGACAAGTCATTGATGTTCCGAGCATTGCCATTTTGATTTGTGAATGAATAACTCTTTCAGTTGTACTTCAAAATTTGGATCTCCTTCTAAGCTAGTGCTTTATGAGTAGGTTTCACTTGTCAACCAGAACGTCTAACCGACTTTGGTCCTCAACTGTTACTTTAACTAAGGTATTATTAATGCATATGTCTCATGTTGTCATCTTTACTTTCTTTATATTAGGATCCTTGGATTTCTATTGCTGAAGTATTATTTCGCTTAAACTGAATGAACTAATACAGGGGCTGCGGACTCGTGAGCAGGAAGATGGAGTCTCAAGTCAATACTTAATCAAGGTGTATATGAAATTTTGAGATATTTTCTGAAAAAGGAATTAGGAACCTTACTATCTTGTTGTTTTTATTCTGCTTTTATATGGCTTTTTGGTGTTGTCCCTTGTCTATATTTTCATTAATGTGATGCTTATGCTTTCCTGAGCCAAGGGTCTATTGGAAACAACCTCTCTATCGTCACAAGGTAGGGGTAAGGTATGCGTACACACTACCCTCCCCAAACCCCACAGTGTGGGATAATACTGGGTATTGTTGTTGTTGTTTTTTTTTGAATTGGTAACTATTGTATATATTATAACAATCAGTACATAGGTTGCACTGAAAACCAAATTTACATAGAGAGAATTTATAGATATTCTAATTTGAGACCTAGCAGGATCCTAGAATGTCTATGATTGTCAATGTATCTTCTGTGTACATCTTTTTGCACCAAAAACAAAATAGAAGAATACAATTGAGTTTGATCTTCTGCATTGAGTTGCTTCTATCTTCAAAACATCTAGTATTCCTTTCTCTCCAGACTGTCCACCAAATACATGCCGGAACAGTCCTCCATCTATCTCTACTAGTTGCTTCAGCTCCAGCTTCTTCCCAGCTATAGATGACATCTTTAATCCTGAATGGCATTGACCATGAGATACCCCTAAGACTAATAAAGATTTTCCATAGTTGGTCTGTAATCTTGCAGTGTAGAAACAGATGGTTGACAGTTTCTGCATTTTCCCCACACAAAAAACATCTTGAACACATAGAAATTCCCCTTTTTATGAGATTATCCTGGGTTAAAACCGCCTCCTTTGCTAGTAGCCAAGTAAAGCATGCTACCTTGTATGGAATCTTTGTTTTCCATATATGTTTCCAAGGCCATGTGTCTACCTGTTGATTATCATGATTCAAAATCTTATATGCATCCTTCACTCGGTAAATCCCTTTGTTGCACCTCTTCCACCATATTGAATCCAAACCTTCCTGTAGTCCTGTAAATGCTTCCAGCTCTTTGTAGAGTTCAGTTAATCTTGTTATCTCCCAGTCATTCAGCTGTCTTCTTAGAGCTATTTCCCATCCTTGACAACTCCTCATATCAGCGACTGTCTTATGCTGGTTTTGTGCTAAACCGAACATATCTGGGTATCTTTCCTTTAAGCTTCCCATTCCTAGCCAGTTATCATTCCAAAATGATGTGTTCCTTCCGTTGTTCACTCTTATGGAGGAGTGATTCTTCATTATTGGCCAAAGTTCTCTGATTGATTTCCACACACTTACTCCATATGATGTACTGACTTTTTTTGACACCCAGTTGTTTTCTTCACCATACTTGGCTTTGATCACTTTGACCCATAAAGATTGGGGTTCTTTAGAGTACTTCCATAACCATTTAATTCTAAGAGCCTTGCTTTGATTCTTCAAATTCCTTATCCCTAATCCACCTTGTTTTTTATCCATTGTTGTTGTCTTCCAATTGACCAAATGGAAGACCTTTTTCTCCTTATTGCCTTGCCAGAGGAATGTTCTTCGGAGTTTGTCCAATCTCTGTAAAATGCTTGATGGAATTGGGAACAAAGACATCATGTAAGTAGGTAGAGAGTCTAATACTGAGTTGATTAGAACTAGCCTACCCCCCAATGATAGATACTGCGATTTCCATCTTGACAACTTCTTCTCACACTTTTCTATGACTGAATACCAGATTTCTTTTGATTTGGATCTTGCACCAAGAGGCATCCCCAGGTAAACAGTTGGTAGGGACCCAACTTCTCCTCCCAATATCTGAGTCAGTTGCCCCATGTTGTTAACTTCATTAATGGGAAAAATGGTATTGTTGTTGTTGTTGTTGTTGTATTTGGGTAATTATACAAGTTCAACATACAACTGCTCTGGTTTCATCAATCATATGCCTGAACAAAATGTACAAGTACATGGCTAATCCTTCTATGCTGGATCTATCTATCCCATAGATTATCATATTAGCTTCTGCCATCTGGTTCAGGCAATTGCAAATGCTAGCAAGGTTCCAGGAACTTTTGTTCCAGACTTGACTGAATCAGAAGTTCCAGATGAATATGAAAGGCAGTTTGATGAAGATGAAGAGCTAGAGCAACTTCTCACTGGGACTATATGCTTCAAAATGTATCCATTCTCAAGCGGTATGTGTAAATGCAATCAAGATAGTCACTTTCAGAAGCCAAAGATTCAGTACATATGTTGATACAGGAACTTTGCAGACACGTCCGATGCACAAAGGAAAATAATTCTATCTGGTTCCTTTAATCCATTGCATGATGGTCACATTAAGCTCTTGGAAATTGCAACTAGGTACACATCTCTAACCATCAAGCGTGATTTTCAACTATTGAAAAGATTGATTTCTTGTACACATTGAGAAAAGATGTTTATCTCTTAAGGAATTACATCTTTCTGCAGAGTGCCAAACTTTTCCCTTCAAATTTTACAAGGAAAAGAAAACCAAAGATGTGTAGCACATTTTTGAGCTTCGAGTTTGAAGTCTTCACTTGCAGAGAAAAATATTATGCTTTTAATGTAATATTATTCACTTCATGTTTTTATTTCATGCAGCATTTGTGGTGGTGGATATCCATGCTTTGAGTTGTCAGCTGTCAATGCAGACAAACCTCCATTGGCAATATCTCAGATCAAAGATCGTGTTAAGCAATTTGAAAAAGTTGGTATGAACGTACATATATGTTATCATGTTTTGCCGTCATTTTAATATTTTTAATCTTTGGGTATTGTAAAATGAAAAGTAAGGTCTAAGTTAGTGATGAAATTTAGCTTGATCAATCAAACCTCTGAAGAGGATCAGTGTACCAGGTGAAATGTTACAAACTTGAGTTATCTAAGTTTCAATAGAAAAAGGAGAAAAGAAAAATTTAGCAGAGGAAATTGATATTAGAATGGCATGGTGGTCTTGCTTGCCTCTGGTTCTATTACCCAGAGTAACAGAACTCTATTTGCATTCAGACATATCCTTGATAAGGAACCAATGGAAAAGTGAAAATTTATTTCATCAAAAATTAAATTGAGACCTCACAGAAAGCAGGGGTTGAGAATTGACTATGATGAGCTTGTTTTTTTAATTCTTTTCCAACACATCGCAAAGGCTTTGAATGCTGAACTGCAGTTTGAGGTTTTCCCGTACCATCTGATGGAAACTGATCGTCAAAGTGCCTCTCCGTTATTACTTCAATACAAATAGAAACACAAGAAAAAGAAATTCGAGAGAAGTATATGCTCTCAGTACTGTTTAGCCATACAAGTTTCATATCCTAGTATGAAGAAAAGTAATATTCCAAATTTCATGTTATCCAAGAAGAGAAAAGACTTAGCCATGGCATTAAATTCTTCCCTATTTCCATTATCCAAATATGCTGGTGTTTGAATGGCTTCAGCCTTTGAATTGCAGGAAAGACGGTGATAGTGTCGAACCAGCCATATTTTTACAAGAAAGCAGAACTTTTTCCTGGCAGCGCTTTTGTCATTGGTGCTGACACAGTTGCAAGACTTGTACATGTAAGGTTTTGTCAATTTATTTTATAACATTGTGATTACATGAAATCAAGAATTTAGTAAACGATCTCTCTCTCTCTCTCTCTCTCAAACATCTCTATTTTGCTTTCCATTTCTAATATCATACCATCAGAAAAGTGTCGGCCTCTTTCTGTCTGGCAAATGTTGTTTCCCAGAACTGTCCTCGGCTTCTCACTACTTGCCTAGAGAACCATAAGTTGTAGAGCGGTCTATGCACTTTATATGCTCTGACTTTCTAGGTCATCTCTCTTATTTAGTTATTCTACATTCTTTTGGTTAAGTGTCCCACAACTCTTTTGGTGAAGACTTCAACTTCAATGCTACAACACCTTTTAGTAGCTTTGATATCAGAAGAGCTGTAGTTCAATAATACTTCATCCAAAAAAGAGAGCTGTAGTTCAACAATGATGTGTGATATTACCTATATCACTTATTCTACAGACTTCTGCTGCAGAGTAGCTTGCTCCCTTTCTCTATCACTGTATTCATAAGTCTTTGTAGCTCATTACATGCTGAGGTGAAAGGTTTATTGGGCTGCCCTTGATGTTTGCTGATAGTTAAACTTGGGCTTAACAGTAATAGAAATCTGCCTATCTGGAAAATGCTGGGACAGTGTGCTTCATATTTTGTTCTTTTGTTAGTGAACAGAAATGGCAGCATTGTTGGTGGTACTTGATAGGCTGGTGCCTTTTTATTTTAATATTTTCTTAAATCTTTTTGTGTTTTCTTGTACTAGAATTTATGGTCTCGTCTACTTAGTTTGGAAACACAATTATTGGGAGGAAGATAATTTGTGTCGAATTTTTTTTGTGATAGAATCCAGCCGGATAGCTGGTTTCTATAAGTGAACTAGCACCTCATGCAAAGTTATATTTATGTATAGAGACATTAGCAGTCAACTATAAGATTACGTTGGCAGAAGGAGATTAACCAAAGATGTGTGCTCGGAAATAGAAAAGGTGGTCTTTATTTTGTGGTTAAATTCTGCTTTTGCATATTCAACTTATTCTGATAAACGGGGCAATAAGCTGCTATAGAAAGGAAGCTTTACAAAATGTACATACTGATTTCTGCTAGTTACTCTTGCCAGCCAAAGTATTATGGTGATGACTATGGAAAGATGTTGGAGATACTTCTGGGATGTAAAAACACAGGATGTACTTTTCTGGTTGGTGGTCGAAATGTTAATGGAACTTTCAAGGTACATACTTCGTAACAAACTCAGCGCGACCTTCATGTATTTTATCACTTTAGCTTTTTGAAACTCTTATGAATTTTGTATCATCTGATTTCTCTAGGTTCTTGAGGATTTCGACATTCCAGCAGAGCTGAAAGACATGTTTGTGCCTATACCGGTCGACAAATTCCGCGTGGATATATCCTCCACTGAAATCCGGAAGAGTAAAGGACTTTTGTAAGCTGTTTGTATCATTCTCACCTAACTTCTATACATTGCTACTTGGCATCGTCTAAACAATTGGTTTTCTCTATGTAACATGAAAATAAAAGTCAAAAAGAAAAGAACAGAAGTGATAACAGAGAAAGCAAGCTCTATTCGTTTTTCATCGTTTTGCGTTGCTTTTCCAGTTTCCACAGAACTGAGAATGTGAGGAATTGTTATACTCTGATATGGGTATTCTTTCTAACATTTGTATATTAATTGATGCTTGGTTTTTAAATATTATGCCCTTTAACCAAGGCTTAAGGCTCTAGGTTCTGTTAATTATATACTTAAATCATTGGCTTAAGCTATTCTTTTTCTTTCAGTAGGACGTTTTTTGGGCTATTGCTTACAGTCTACTCACAAAAATATCTGACAGAGAATTGTACAGTTGAACATCGCCACCAAAGTATTGCAATGAAATGTAATCGAGCTATCACCCGCCCCCTCCCCAAACCACCCCCAAGAGAAACCCAGCCCCATTACAAATAGAGAGTATGCAGAAGGAAAGGAATTTCTCAGCGACTTATAGACTATAGTCTACTAGTATCAGTGGAAGTCTTCCACGTAATAGGTCTGGATTCGATTCTCACTATTTCCTTTCTCCCCCCTTTCCTTTTCTTACTTTTCAGGCTCCACATCCGGCACCACAGCCTGCACCACATCCGGCGCCATAATTATCGGTATGGGTTGTCGCTTCCTTCTCTTTAGAAATACCATCTGCACAAGAGAAGATGATTGTTGAAATGATACACAGACTAACCAAAATCATCAACCACAGACCCCAAATGTCAACCTGTGCAATATCTTCAACACCTCTTCCTTCCCAGCTTCCAACTGTTACTTTCAATTCCCTAACCATATTTGTCTAAGTGGCTATTTTAACAGGTGTTTTGATAAGAGCAGTTCTACTGACTTCTTATCACCAAAAATGAGTTTCTCTTATCAAGTTAGGAAAGGAGTTGATGGCTTTTAAGGATGGTTGAGACTTAATAATGAGTGGTCAAAATAAACTACCTTGTGTTTTGGGTAAAGGGTTCTGACTTTTTGGCAGTGCTTATCCAAATATGGTAGAATACTTGGGCACATGGCTAAATGCAGTGTGAACAGATTCTTATTTGTGATTCACACAATTGCAAAAGTTGTAGAGCGTAAGTAGTGGGATATTTATTTTTTCTATTTGATAAATACCTTTATTTGACCCTTCGTAGAACTTAAAAGGTTCGACTTGATTATATATACTTTTGACGCTTATCCGTTATTAGGTTTAGTTAGGTGGTTGCCAAGAAATAGTTATGCATAGGATAGCATAATGTATTTCGAAATAGTGAGTTACTCATGCTACTACCATCAGACTTGCTAGAAATACATTGTGAATTTTTTGTTTAAATTTGAAAGTTGTTTGGTAGTAACTTTAAGACAAGAGAGGTTGCTATGATGGTAAGCAACCTCCACTTCCAACCAAGAGGTTGTGAGTTCAAGTCTTCCCAAGAGTAAGGTGAGAAGTTTTTGGAGGGAAGGATGTTGGAGGTCTATTTTGGAAACAGCCTCTCTACCCCAGGGTAGGGGTAAGGTCTGCGTACACACTACCTTCCCAGACCCCACTAAGTGGGATTATACTGGGTGGTTGTTGTTGCAGTTTGGTAGTAACTTGTTTGCTAGCTGGAAGTTGGTTGAAAGTTTGATTACAACTTTTTGTCAAATCATTCCCAGCTTTTATACGAAGGTACGGAGTGAATTGGCTAACAACTTGACGAAGTTTATACTTATTTAGGTAATTCTTGCCACGACACTTCACAACTTTTATAGCAAAAATGAGGAATTAGTGTTTACTATTTAATTTTTATAACTAAAAAATTTCACGATATTATAAATAGCCATGAAATTTTAATCTTCGTAATTATTGCTGCATGCTAGCCAATAACTAAGAATAGAAAGCAAAAAAGGAGAATAAGAGACCCTGAATAACTCTCATGAAAAGTCAATACTAAAATTTATTTCAAACTATCCAGTGACATCTGGATATTTGGTTTAAATGCATGTAAAGATTCTTCATTAGGTAATCGAAACTTCTAGAGCTTCACGTTCCTGCATATCTATGTATATGAATTCTAACCTTCGAGGCAATGACGATAGGGACTTGTCTTCGTGTAAAGTAGATGGATATGACACTTGTCACGAGCAGATATAGAGCTAGAATTTTAAATTTTGAAAAAGTTAGTTAACTAGGTATTGAACAGGATTTGAACTAAAGTAATTGAGTTCTATCGAACCCGTAAATAGAACTGTAATTTTGCCGAGATGTTACAAAAAGTTACACTATATATAAGTAACATATATATATTTTTTGATTTCTCATCCAATATTTGATATCCCACATTGGGGGTAAAACGTTCCCTAACAAAGACGATTTCATACCCAGGACTCGAACTCAAGACCTCTAGTTAAGGATGAAGCTCCACCACAATCTTTATTGGTAGTAAAATATTAAATTTTAGAGGTATATAACATATATTGAACTTCTTTAATGGAATTTTTTTTTTACTTTTTTCAATTTTGAACACCATTGGAAAATTTTGCCTTCGCCACTGCCGCCCCTGATGGGCAACAAGCATGATCCTTTTTTCTTTTTAATTATTCGTATACGGTACTAACTTACTGGTCTGATTAAGTCATGTCCCCGTCGCATAAGACTCATTAAGAAAAGATAAACCACGATTTCTTCGTTATTTATGATTTATCTAAAATCATGAGAGTCCAATGAAATTACCTCTCCAAGTTGTAGAATGAAAATACAAGTAATTACAGCAGTAACAGCATAATCTCTTCATCTTTTACGGTATTTACATGTACAATTAAATTGTTTACAATTCAAACATATCCACAGCTGATTTCTTGAACTTGTTTTTTTTTTTGTTTTTTCAACTTTGAGAGATGACTCAATACTTTTTCCTTTGCTTGACAGGTCCTCTTGGAATCTTGTTAAGAACTTCTGTATCAAATTTCTTGTATAGTTTCTTCATATCTTGGTTACCTTGGCTTAATAGATAATCCACCTCATTTTGATACCTTTCATACAGAGCTGGTAATGTTGCCAAACACATAAAACCTATAATCCAATTCAACACACAAGACGTCATAATTCGAATCATACTGTCACGAGTTTGAAGGGAACTTTGGCATAACTGGTATGATGTGACCAAGAGGTCACGGGTTCGTGCCGTGGAAATCGTCTTTTACAGAAATACACTCTCGTGGTCTGACCCTTCTTCGGACCCGTACATAACCGGAGCTTAGTGGATCGGGTTGCCTTTTTATTGTCACGAGTTTGAATCCCGCCCATTTGAATATTTTTTATTTTTGTGTTAATTATTGCCTCAGTTTCATCATATGTGACTGTGTTTGACTGGACTTTAAAGTTTGAGAAAAAAAGATTTTTGGAATTTGCATGCAGTTTAAACATGCCATGATATTTTGGTGGCCGTAAATGAATGTCATTAAGGATAAAATTAAAAAAATTAAAATTAAATCATTTCCAAATGTAGAACTTTGCCTTTCTTTTTGACACTATTTCCTTTTTAGTCCGTTAAGAATTAAACAAGAATGATACATTTCAATATTTGAAAATAAGTTAACGTAAGATTTCTCATTTTACGGTTAATGACATGAGTTCATAGCCACACAATTGTCATGGTATATATTTAAGAAAACACGTCCTAAAAGTCTTTTTTCTTTTTAAATTATATGCTCAGTCTAATAGGTTCATATAAAATAAAACGGGGGCGAGTATGCTATAAAAGAAACAAAAATAAGATCAAGATTGCAAAATCTTACCTAAGTACAATAGATTCAGAGAGCTGAAGTAATTTCCAATAACTGATAATATCCATAGGAAAGTGATTGCCTAGACCCATAAAAACCAAAGAGTAAAGTCAAAACAAAATTCAATAGAAAATAAAAGCAAAAGGGTTGATGAAATTGCATAGGAAATGCGATATATTTACCAGGAAAAATGTTCTTAAATCTTTCCCAGATGAAATCTCATAGATTTTCACTAAAATAGAGTTGAATTTCCCACATAACCATCTGAATGTTGAATCTGAAATCATAATTGCCCGAAAATCGGGAGGACTCCTACAAAATAATAAATATAAAAAACTCTTTATACTTCGAGATATATAAGTTAAACTCAAATAGATATAGTAAAAAATACCAGTCAACAAATCCAGCTCCCATAGACCAAATGAAGAGAATTAACATCAAGATCATGGAAATGTGACACAATAGAGTTACAAAATTGTATTCCATAACTTCAAAAAGGGACCAAATTATTGTGAATCCCATTAATATTGAAGCTGTTAACGTCCTGTCCCTCCATAATAATATGTCCGCAACTGCAAAGAAATTAAATGAAAAAAACCAAGGTATATCATTAGATAATTTTATGGATTTTGTCTTCAACTTTTCGTTTATTATTGTACCTAAAGTCAACAACAAGAACAAGAACAAGAACAACAACAACAACAACACAGTAAAATCCCACAAGTAGGGTCTGGGGAGAGTAGAGTGTACGCAGACCTTATCCCTACCCTATAGGAATAGAAAGGCTGTTTCCGAAAGACATTCAGCTCAAGAAGAAGAAAAAAAATAATAGATAATAGATCAGTAACAACAACAGAAGCCAGAAAAATAATATGTGCATCGTAAGAAATAAAATATAGATGGAAAACCAATAACAATAACAAGTAATAATGCCATATAAAATAATGTGGAAACTACATAAACTGTATCTAAAGTCATAAAACTAATTTTTATACTAGTATCTAACTCAACTACGCCTATATATCACAAAAAAAGAAAGAAAAATATGCTAATTAAAATAAAATTGTCATGTAAGTATAGTCACATTAATAATTCACCTTACACAATATCTACGTGACTCTACTTTCGTCTTTCACCATGTGGCACATCATGGTTTTTAAAATGTTTTTTTTAAAGTGGGTCGGAAAATAGTTAAAAGATTTAGAATTGGAAATGCTGCAAAAGTGATTTTTTTTAAAAATAAATAAATAAAAGAATATACCTTTTCCTCCTCCAAGAATTGCATGCATGGGTTTTTCATGAGTAAAAAATCTTCTTAGAGGTGCTGAAGATGAAGGGCGTAGGTCATCAGAATCAGAAGAATAGATAGGCATATTTCTGATGATTTTATGAAAAATATTTGTCTAATATTGCTGAATTTTGAGGACTTATTGAAGTTTGAATATGAGAATAGTAGGGTTTTAATTTTATAGGTAGTTGTAATTCTAAAATTTGGGAGCCCAAGAAGTATATACATACAAGCAAAGAAAAGAATGGCTTTAGCACAGCATTGAAGTTTTGCTTCACAAATATGAAACCTAGCTAGCTTCTTTGTTATTATAGCATTGTTATTTCACCTTCTTTGGAATATGTTATTTAACATAGAAAGTAAGGTGTATTCATGTAGAAAATACATCATAAAAATTGAAATAATTTTACTTGTTGGAATTAAGAAAAAAATCTCTTTGTATCTCAATCACGTGTTTAACATTTAGAAACGCCCTCTTGTAAACATGCTACAAGGTACAATAGATCTAATGTTGCCCGGACCTTTTCTGCAAGGTGCATAGCGGACGTTTAATGCAACGGGTTGTTTTTTTATTTTGTTTCTTAGGCACAATTTATGATGAAATTGATGAGTTTTACGCTGGTTGCTAGGCTACCACAATTTACCTTATTTTATTAGGGTTTAAAATCGACAATTTAAGCAAGCTCACACATGTGAAGATGAAAATAATAAATACAGTCAAACCTCTCTGTGAATGATGTAAGTGTATTTCACTCCATGCTTAAAATGATAAATTACATCGAGAATATATACACAAAAGCTAGACACATAAGTCAACAATGCATCCCTGAGGTCATGCCTTCTACCTACAATATTTGACTATCTATCCGACATACAATCTTATATTTGAAATACTCTCTGACAATATCTAACACTCCCCCTCAAGATAGAGCATACATGTTATATGCTCCAAGCTTGCTACAAATTGTGTTCAATCCGAGCTCCTCTAAGGGACTTAGTAAGCACATCTGCCAACTGGTCATTTGAACCGACGAAGCTGGTGGCAATGCATCCGGACTCAAT